AATTAGGGTGCCACACCCTTAAAGCTGACTGTCCATCCTCAGCAGCCATCTGCTGTCCATAGCTCCTCAGCCAGGAGCAGGGTCTGTGAGACCCTCTCCCCTCCACACTAGAATGCTGACTGGCTTGAATTGTGCAGGTCTAGTGTAGGCCACCACCGTGCTCTGATGTCATGAAAGCAGTGGCCCTGTCGTGTCCAGAGGACACTGCCTCCTTCCAGTCCTGCCTGATCTCTGGCTCTTACAGTCCTTCAGCTGGCTTATTAAATGTCCCCTGAGCCTTTGGGAAAGGAGTGTGATACAGACATCCAATTTATGGCTGAGGACTCCACAGATGTCATGAGTTTATGCATTAACTGTCATCAGCCACATAAAGAAATCTCTCTGAAGACCTGAGGGCTGTGCTAATCTGTGGGTATACAAAGATTTTATCAAACAGCAAGTAAGGACCTTGGGAGGCTTACAAACTTCAAATGGAAATGAAATAATGGTAGTTTTGAAAGATTAATCTGACAATATAAATATATTGGGATAAAGAACAAAAGACTTAACTAAAAATAATTTTAAAGAATTCTGTCATTGCTTAGAATTCAGGGGATGGGCATGCAAACACTGTCTTGGACAGACAATGAAATCAAAGGTAGTAGAATACACAGAAAGAAAAAAAGTCACAACATGAAAATACAGCAAAGAGAAAAGGTGTAACCAAGAAACCACAAGGAGCCAAACTCTTCCTGATGTGAATGAAGTGGCCTCTGGGAAAGGACCAACAGGCACAAAAGTGTGCTGCAGCCACTAATGGTGACCTTCACCATCATTGCTCCTGAGTTTCCCTGTGATAGCTGGGTGCTCATCCTAAGGACCCTGTTTACTGAGAAGCCTGTCCAAATATAGCATTCCCAAGTTCATGAGACATCTTCCACAGATGCACACACACCACTACACAAGCAGACAAAGGCACATGCACTCAGATAGACTGCCCTCTTTCCATGACTCCATCGCAAGACAGAGGTGCAAACCAAAAACTAAATCCTTAATGTACTCAGACTGAGAACTTTTCCGCTCGCTGTCCTCAGAAGACAGTGTGGGAGGTAATACACAATTGAGAAAAATTAAATGTTTCTAATTAAAATTTCACCTCATAAGCTTTATCTTGGAAATATGCTTCCCATTTAACAGACTACCAGTTAATTATGACTAGGTCAAGTCTAAGTTTTAATTAAGATATAGTCCCTTTTCATATAAATCTAATTTGGATGGTTTTGAGAAAAAGATGACTGCACACATTTTATTTTTTCAAATATTCAAATATATCAAATTATAATTTGTCAATATTAATCACCACAAAGGGTCTTTTTGAAAAAAATCACAAGACTGAAAAGAATTACTTTTGTACCCATATGAAAATTGTCAGTATAAGGAAAATCAAAAAGAACCACGCAGATAACATGAAAACTATTTCTATGATACACTTCCATTTGAATGTGTGTTAACTATCAAATGCCAGAAAAATATGCAGTTACACTGATATTTATCCTTATTGTGTTTATTTTTTCCTATGATCATATTAACAACTTCCACTTATCAATTAATTACTGCTATGGATAATTCAATATAGTGATGTTCATTTCAAAGCACCAGCTCTTGAAATTTGGATCTTGAGTTTTACATGCACCCCTGTGACTGCTGATCCTCAGGAAGCAATGTTTTCCTTTAGGGAACACAACAACAGGCCTTTGCATACATCTACCAGTAGATGGAGCAGACAGCATAATTTATTACAAAGAACAAGGGCAACGGAAGGAAAATCAGTTTCTCTGGAATAAAACAAATCTGTAAATGAGATTTTCTTCAAAGGAAATGTGCCCTGTATGTGCTAGATTTGGTTTGACTGGTTACTGAATCAAAATGAATAACTTTATTAAATAATCAATCTTTGCAGAAAGATAAATTAAATTTACAAATGGGAGGCATTGCTTGCATTTTACTTTATTCAAATCAACTAAAATTAGCTTTCCTTTCAAAAAATTTTTACAGGGACAAAGACTTTTTGATGTGTTCACTTAGTAAGGACGCTAAACACAACCCTGCTTTACAGGTGGCGGGTGCATAGCGAATAGTATTTTCTAGGGAATATAATTGACTAATCCTGTTATGTCTGTAGCAACAAATTAACCTTATTACTACTAGTAAATGGTGATTGATTATTTATGCAAATAAGTTGCCATGTTCGGCTTTCTGATTGAAATAAACATATAAAAAAGGTGCTTTACTATAACTTGAACTTTCTAATTAATAAAGGCCTGAGGGGGTCTATTAATTCACTCATTGCAATATTAGTTATTTACTCATGTAACTCCTATCAGCACAAACATATTTGCTTGAATAAAGATGAGATAACAATAAAAATTATGAATAGCTTCTAAAACTATTTAGAAATGTACATCAGATTCATGCTAAAAGTTGAAATTTTAAATTGCATCAGCAAATATCAATATAACAGCATAATCAGTCTAAAGTTAATTCACTAAATAATATTATACATATCTGAATTAACAAACACAATTTTGCCCTTAAAAATTCTTCAAGGGGGAGAGGGGTAGTGGAGAGGGATGAGGAAGCGATGTGTGTGAGGAGGGGGAGGGAAATGGGAAACGGGGAGGAGGCGGAAATTTTTTTTTCAACAACTAAAAATAAATAAATAAATAAATTTCTTCAATGTTTTTAAAACATTATTTATTATAGTAGGTTCAATATTACTTTAAAGCATTATTTATTATACCTACTAACTATAGGAATTTAATTCTATAATTAGTATATACAATGAATATTAATATTATTATTACTAGATTATTGGAACTTCCAATAAACTATGTTCTCCTTTAAAAATGTTACAAGGTTTCTTTTTTTTAATTTTCTTTTTTTTTAAGTTGAAAGTGCATTTAATACACTTAATTTATTTATTTTTCTTTTTTTTAATTTATTTATTTATTAAAGATTTCTGCCTCCTCCCCGCCACCGCCTCCCATTTCCCTCTCCCTCTCCTGATCAAGTCCCCCTCCCTCATCAGCTCGAAGAGCAATCAGGGTTCCCTGACCTGTGGGAAGTCCAAGGACCACCCACCTTTAATTTTCGAGACAGGCTTTCTCCGTAGCTTTTTTGGTTCCTGTCCTGGAACTAGCTCTTGTAGACCAGGCTGGCCTAGAATTCACAGAGATCCGCCTGCCTCTGCCTCCCGAGTGCTGGGATTAAAGGCATCTGCCACCACCGCCCGGCACAGGGTTTCTTTTTACACAGTTCAACAAAACTGTTTGTACACGGATAAACTCCTTACTAAAAGTATGTACACTTGCTATTGACAATTAAAACACAGATCTTTTGAAACTGAGATTTCCTAGTGTAAGCAGTCCAGGAGAGTTAACCTAAATAACTAAGAGTAGTTTTAAATCCAGAGTTCATTGCCATCCTCTAGCCAAATCACTAAGGAAATGAGTAACAATACTCACATAGAAGTGTGTGGGTTTCAGTTTTATTTAGGAAAGTATTTTAAATTCTTTGATAAATAGAACAGAACAGCAAAATCATAAATGAAAATGGCTGTTAATTGGAGTGAGACTGCTTATAGACAGCAACTTTTTCCGATTAAAAAGTTTCGTGCCAGGAGACTGGAAGGTGGCTGTGTGCTTACGCCAAGTGTCTCTTAGGATGCACTTCCATGCCCTCAAAGCCCAGCACGACACCCATGGAGGGCAGGCATTCAGAGACGTGGGATTCAGAATAACAGGCTGAAGTGAAGTCATGGTCAGTGTAGTAAATCTTTGTAGCCTTCGAATTCTACGTCTCTTATATTGTGATGACAAACTGTTTAAAACAACGTGGAACAAATCTGGTGGTAGGACAGGAAAGGCATGCATTTCCCGGCATCATCTGCCAGCACTCCCGATCTCATGGACAGATGAACAGACCGGACAATAAGATGGTATCACTCGTCTAGTGTATCACCAAGATGTTCGTCTTGGGAGGGGGTACAGAGGTTATTCATTCATCTCTCTTTAGTTAACTATAGTTAAATATCAAGATTTTGATAACTACATATATCAAATTGCCAAACCAATAAAATCTGACATTTTATAGTATTCTCCAAGAGAGGAGATTGGATAACACATCTTCGCTTGCAATGTCCTAACGTCAACGACATCACGTAAAGTGAAGGTGGAGGACACCCATATGGAGACACCACTGTAAATATTGCTAATTAATTCTAATATAGACTAAATGGATATCTAAAATAAATAAAGGAGCCAGTTCTGTTCTTCCACTCTTAGGTCCTGGGGCTTGAACCCAGGTCATCAGCTGGGGGGGGTACTTTACCTACTGAGCCGTCTCACCAGCCAATCCATGATTTAAAGCCGTATCTCTCTGCGCAGAATATTCTAAATGCAATGGGCTTTCCCAGCAATTGTAACAAAAATCTTAAGAATAAATTTCTAAGTGTTCTAAATTCCACAGTTATCTCTCCATATGAAGTTGTAAATGCTGAGGCAATTTGCTGTAAAGGTTTTTATCTGACAACTTCCATCAAAACCTAGAAAAGGAGGAACAACAGTCATAATCTCAGCATTCGCTCGATTAAAAGAGAAAAGCTGAAAGCCGGCTCAGCTTAATAACTTGCTAGCTCTTGGTCAATTCACAACACAACAACGAGCCACTCGGACTAGTGTTGAAGGCGAGGTTACGCCCTTCGTGCTGCGTTATCAGTGTGGTGGACATCTCTGCTGACTGGGACCTTTCCACCAGTGCCTCAGCGGCTGCCCCTATGAAGCTCTGTCACAGACCAATCACAGCGCCTGCGCGCACCTACACAGAGACAAGAAATTGAACTTGAAGTAGTGTCTTTGTGGTATCTTTTCAACAAGTCATGTCCTATTCAGGCTGCTACTTTATCTCTGTCAGGCGAGGGGTCCAGGTGGCTCATGGGAGCTGCCAGGCACAGGTAGACTAACCTGCTTTGTGCTGAGCAGGTAATGCATCTTGCGGGCTTGCTGATCTCTTTGCTTCTCTTCCCGCTCCAGGCGAGCCTTCCTCTCTTCTCGCTCTTTCATCTCTGCAAATTCCTCCAAAGCCTCCCTGCATCAAAATTGTCAGCAGTTACTCTGATGACATCTGTTGAGTCCCTAATTCTTTCACTGATGAAAATCAAGATTTTTGAGGGGCAATGATCACCCACATCCATCAAAATCAAGGGTGCAATTTATCTTGCCTGTGAATTCTGTGGAAATCTTTGCCCTTGTTAGACAGCGTTCAAGTGACTTTTTCCTGATGGAATTTTCAACACCAAAGGGTACGTGTTATAATTACTACAATAGCAAAAGAAATGTCAAAATCCACTGCAAAGGGAGTGGCTTTTTACATCCCTAAATATTCCAAGAAACGTGTGCCTTAAATTTTAGTTTGTATTTACAAATATCTACTTATTTTGCATACTAATCACTATTTTTTTAAAGTGCAGATTTTTTACATGCTTAATTGATTCTATGTTTACTTCAGTTAACAGTTCAATTAATACCAATAAGATTACACATATTATCCTGCATCTAAAGTGACATTTTATTCAATTACATAAATAATTTAAATAAAGGGCTAGGTTAAGTTAAAATCTTTCTAAGGCATGAAAAATTCCACTAATGAAAATTTTAAATGAAAAAATTAAATGAAAAATAAGCTTCAAATTATACTGCGTGATAAATAGCTTCCAAATAGGACACGATATTATCAAATAAAGAAGAAGGACTACATCTTTTGTTTCCATTAACAAATTTATCACTCATGTCAGAGCAGCATTTTAACACTGCTGTTTTATTTTTAAAATAAATACATAATTTGATGTTTACTTTCATATGTAAAATCTCCAAGAAAACATCATAGATTTTGCTTCATATATGTCAGGGAAAACTAAAAGGATATAGTCCAAAAAATAAACATAAAAATACAGGCTTCTCCTTGCTACCTGACTGTGGCGGAATATTTGCTGCAGTGCCCTGCTACAGGCTGCTAACACTTCACACAAGGTTACTTACGAAACACCCCGACATTTAAAGATCACCATGCTAGGCTACGGCAGTAGAGCAATTTTTTTCAACATAAGATTAAATTGCAAAATAAATGAATTACTTGGAGTGGCACAGCCCCCATTTTGTCACCCTTCCCTTGAAAATTGCTTATTAATATGAAAAAGAAGGCAGAAAATAGCCTGTTTTCCTTTATGTATGTATTTGGGGGGTTTCTGCACCCACTAGCCTGGGCTAGCTGCACATTTAGATTGTGCTGGCAAGGTGGTACAATGACCCCTCTGACTGCATCTCGAGGCGGTTATTAATCGCTAAGTAACCCAGTAAAGCCAAACAAATCTGTTTCCATTGAAAGCATCTCTGTCTGTGTCTGCGAGTTTGTTCTGTACCAAACAAACCTCATTAACTGTGTCCACTTTTTGACAAAGAACCAGGAGTTAGAGGAATTGGTGACCTTTCTTTGTCCTTAAGGTACACGTTTCAAGACAGTTACATATGAGCAAATGAGAATTTTTACCAGGAAATATACAATCATGTTACACAAAAACATAAGTGCATTATACATTTTAGTCTTTACTTTTGTTGGTTTATAAAAATATTTGCATGAAAAATAAGCAAGTCCTCTGTGCTGCCTCCGATAAGGCCCTGAGATAATGTGGAATAACAAGCAGAGGTGCCAATTATCCTAGTTTATGTCATGGAGAAACAAGCACAGACGACAATTTATCTACTGTCAGGAACGGATGAAAAGCTGGACTGGCAGGGTTTCTGAGTGCAGGCAAGGCTGCAGGCACCTCCGTCCACACCCAAGATGGAGACGATACTTTCTACCGAGTCAGCCACGCACATCTTTTATCTTATGTTCCTGTTCTCTACTATAAAAAAAAATACTTGAATTTTCTGCATCACTTTGTCTATAAAATATTTTGTGAGAGTACATAAAGATTAAAACTACTGCAAATATGAAGATTTATTTTTTAGTACATTTTAGCAAAGGATTTTATAGTGATAAATATTTGCATATTCTAAAATGGCAGGGATAATAAAAATAAAAGTAGCCACTGGGAGGCAATATAATGGAGTAGTTGGAAACGTACTCTGCAACAAACCTGGTCGCACAAACTGCACTGTGCTGTTTGATGGCTGTTTAACCTCTGAACTTCAAAACCTTCATCTAGAAAGCGTAAACATACTAATACTGCCACCCTTCTCGTTAGCAATGGTGAGGATCAGATATGCTGAATCTATGCAGAGTATTGCTATGCAAGCATTAGTTTTCTTTAGCCCTCCCTATACACGAGGTGCAAGGCTACTACTCACTTTATTTACTACAGATTTGCCATACTGTGTCTAAATCCTTCGATGTTTTTCCTTCTGATGGTTACGTACTGTGTGGGTGAAATGTCAAAGTGAAAACACAGTACCTGGCATGAGATGTGAAACTGTCCCCAGTGAGAAAGAGGAGGACATGAACAGGTGACTAAAGCTCTCTTTCCTCAGTCCTCATACCACACCCTGGGGCTGCTTCACCTTGAGGAGAAGGTTCACCCTGTGAGCTTGGAAGAAACCTCTGTGGCTACAAGGATGTCTGCTAGGCTCTGTTGCATCACTATGTGTGGAGGGCGTGGCCAGAGCTGGGTGCTTACACATCATCATCACAATCCCCCACACTGGAACAAAGCACCCTAGCCTGCAGCTGCCAGGAGTGCTGGCTGCTGACTGGTCACTGCTAACCTCACTGGGGAAAAGTAACTCTGCTCCTCTCTCCTTGCAGGTGGCATTTGTTGACTAAGGGAGGAAACACGGGCTTGGAGCGGAGACTGCCCCACTGTGGAGCACTGTACCGGGCCATCCAAATCCCAGAACGTCCCAAGCCTGGCTGGCACCAATGAAGTGCATTAAAACCTGTCCACTCTTCCCCTCTTCAGCTTCTATTCCTTGCTCACTCACTAGATCAGCCTCTGGAAGTCTCTCTGCACTGGAGGCATGCGCACTTTCCTTTCCTCGCCTTGCAGCACTGATCCTAACCATCCCACAGCACCAGCACTTTAGTCTTGTTTTCTCCGTAGGATACATAGATTATCTCCCTCATGACTCATGTCCTCTTAGGGAAGAAAAGCCCCACTGGATAGACTATCAGCCTGGCTTTACAGATTAGGAGACCAGATCCATGGAGACCATATCCACCAAACACCCACAACTAGAAAGTGGAATTGGGCTCCAGGTCTGACTCCAAAATGTCTGCCTTTAATCATGACATTAAATTTGTATTACATATTTTGCTTAATCTAGTATTAGATACTGATAGGATTTCTCTTTCTGAGAAAACTACTAAATATCATAGTGCCTGCACTACTTTTTAAAACATACAAGAGGATAAAGATAAAATGGGACAATTTTAAATTAATTACTCTATTATCATCAGTTCTTAGCATTAGAAGGAGATGGCCACATAGAAACATGGAATGTGATTTTCATTTACAGCCATGAGTTTCTCTTCCTTCGGATATGCTTTCCACTTGTCATTTACTGATGAAGTGAAATGGGCAGGGTACATGTTTCTAATTTTCAAAGGATGAAAAAATACTTTGAAGCTATTAGGCAGACAGAACTCACAAAGAGTAAAATGTTATAAGGTCTTTGAGGCTAGACCCTGGCTTCTATCCGCCCTACTCAACAATGCTCCCTTCAGGCACCATCATGCCTTGGTCTTAGCTGGTTCCATCCTAGCACACCCCAGGACCTTCGCTTACAGTACATGCATGCCCTTCTGCAGCATCCTTTACGTTTGAATTCTCTTCCCACTGCCCCTCTCATTACTACAGTATAAATTTATTTTTCCTTCAAGAACATAATAGCATTACAACATATGTTTATACATATACAAACTCCATAAAAACAAATACTTCATCTATGCTGTTCCTGCCTATTCAAATGAAGAAGTAAATCTATTTTGTAAAACTTTTCTGGAAAGCAGGAGCATTATGATAAGCATAAACTGTTAAAGGATTTATTGTCTCCTTGTACGTATTTAGGTTTCTGTATTTGAATGAAGGCAGAAACTCCATGGAAGTGACAGACAGGAAAGGGCACTGTCCCGCTCAGTGCTCAACTAGAATGGGCATACATTCCTTCCTTTCATGCAGGAACTTATGTGTTCCCACGACACATTCTTTCTTTTCCTATAGTGACTTGGCAAACTGTTTCTTGATTTTCCCTAATGTCTATGCCAAACGAGAAAAATATTTCCCATGAACTACTTTTTGAGAAACGACATCCTGCTCAAAATTGTTTGCACAAACAATCCATATTAAAAAACTTATGGGTCCTGAGGGTCTGACTCTTGTCAAGCGTGGTGCCAAGTTCCTTCTTCATTCACTGAGCCATCTCACTGGCCCTCAAATATCTCTCCCCATTCTTTCAAGGATGCTTAGCTGTTTGCACCATCACAAGGCTTCCTTCTTCTTTTATAGGTCTAATACACTGCACAGTCCACTCCAGCGCATGTGAGCATACAAGCACTTAAAATAGTCCTACTAAGTGCTAGGATGCTACTGTGGAGTCAAAGCTTAGTCTGTCTGATTAGGAAGTGTGTGGAGAATTTGAGGGAAGGACAAGAGTTTCTTATGATAATCCAAGAAAGTAAAAGGCAGGTAAAAACGAAGTATTGCTAAATGCTACTTTCCATGTGGAATCTGAGAGGTTTTAAATAGCAAATTCTTGAGGGTGTCCCTCACTCCATGGTATTTATATCATTATGGGAAGTAGGGTATGAAGCTGTTCTCTAGCACATGGGGATTGCAAAAGATTACGATTATCTGCCAACAAGAGTGTTCACACCAACCAGGTACTGGATCTGCTGGCAACTTGATGTTAGACTTCCTAGTCTACAGAATTGTGGGGGAAAAACAAACACTTGTATAATCCACTCTATGGCATTCTGTTACAAAGGGCATAAGTAAGTCAAACATCAAAACTCAGAATTAGAGTTCGTTCACGAAGGTGTCGCGCCCATCTCAAAGCCTGCTCTAATTTCTGTAGCTGGGTATCCTACAGTCA